ATAATTTCTATTTTGAAGATGATAGAATCGAGGGATGGATTTTCTCTGTATGATGACATTGTCCAGGGTAACTCTGCACGGCATTTCCATGTTTTCATGGAAATAATCGAGCATCTCCGACAACTATTGCCTGGTTTCTTTGCTCCTAGAAGACAAACTGCCACTGTGAAAGTTGAGATGAATGCAAGAGTTAGCTATTCTTTATCCTAAGCACAGAGGTAGTGTTGCATCTTGTTTCAAACTTATGTACTGATTGGAGGGTTGAGTATTGACAGGACACGCTAGAACAATTTCTTGTCGCAAATAAAAATATGCTGAGCATGTAAAACAATGCAGGATAATAAAAGCATGCGTAGAAATGGAAAAATATGCCAAGGGATACGACCCGACATGCATCGGTGAATTCAAACAATACTACTTATTAATTCCCCACTTGACTGATCGTTTTCATGCACGGTGGTATTGTTTGATAATAACTAATAAATTAATAAATAGGAGTAGGTTTCGGCTCGGTAATTTAAAACCCACACTTTCTTTAATAGAAACCCTTAGGCCTATTTCGTGGGATGGACTGTGTACAAACATATGGATAACAAAAGAAAAATGCTGAAATTAAAATTTCATGAAATACATTTCGATGGAACGGTGAATATGAGTACGCATGCAACAAGTGAATTACAAGCTAAAATGTAAGAAACGTTGAAAAGAGAGCATAAATGAATATTGCTGTCACTGTTAAATGATTTTGTCATTTAGCAGTTCAAGCATGGTCATCAAAAGAACGGACTTTTAAGACCAATACAAAACAGGGATGTAAGCGCTAGTGCAACTATTGCTGGGTAGTTTTTGCATGTCATTTACATGAAATGTCACAACTGTGCCTCCAAGTCTGAAACTTTCCTGTTTTGTGTATCTGGAGGGTTGTTTCATTCATTTTGAATCTGAAAGATCACAAATAATTTAACAATGTTGACCGCGACAGAAAAATCAGCTGAACACTATGTCAAACAAGTAGTTAACTTCCGCCGTATCAGTTTAAACTCTATTTAATTTTTAATTCAGTTTGGAAATGTAAATTCAATAAAAACCTAATGTTTAAGTTGTTCACTTCTGCTGTTCTATATTGATGTGACAGTTACCGATAATTTTCAGTATTTGGCAAAGGTAAACTTTAAATGATGTTTATTAAATCGTTTTCCCAGTAACAACATTGAAGTGCATGCTGGCGATTACAACTACAGACATTTTGAAGCCATCTTCTTATCTAAGATGTTATAGCGGCATCATCATATCTCCTTGATATCAGAGGTATATTTAGCATTATTTTCATGTGTAGAAGTGAATGTAATGTTAGAAATAATTGCGACGAAAAGGGTACTTCTACAGGTTCAATCGAATTGTCACCTCATATTAGGCATGCGCCACTTACTGAATAGAATGAAAATTCCACCCCAAACTCGCTCTCCCTTTTTTCCACCGGCAACCAGCCCCGTCTGACACGGTTAATCCGGCGAGGCAATTCACTTCCCTTTTTCAGCCCACTCGCATCCCCTTTTTTTCCACCGGCAACCAGCCCCATCTGACATGAAGGGTAGATAGACGGTTATTTAAAAAGTCTGTTTTCTGGCGAATTTTCCAGGAAATGCTGTGTCAATACTGTGGAGGTGACTTTACAACATTCTGTGTTGACCGGTCACTGCTGCTATACCCATTTCACATTGTTAACCAATCAACTATGGCGATTATCTGACCGTAAATAACGTGGGCTGCTGCCCGAGGCAGCCTGCAACCCCCCCCCAGCTCCCGTTTTTTATGACAAAAACCGCACAACCCATCATAAAGAGTAAGTTAGGGCAGGATTAAGGTACCAACTTTTACGACAGTGTGTTGGTAATGTCACAGTCCAGTGGTCGCGTGCGCTCAGGCAGCAGAAGTCGCCTCGTCTTCGGGACCATCTACCTGCTGGTGTGACTAAACAGTGCACCCGTGCATTCACTTATGACATTGGGATTTGACCCACTCTACTGTGACCAGATACCATGTTACAACACAGGCGAACTCACTCATGTACCTTACATGTAGTGAGTCTGGTGAGCGCTTACCATAGGATCATACCCTGACAAAATGATTGAACTGTGTGTGTGTAGATGTACTGTACATGTACACACACACCCATGACAATGCTGGTCACACGCTGACTGCGTACACAAAGTCTCTCCCAATGTGTCCTCAAAGCTTTATTGTACCAAACTATTCCAACCCCTATTTTAAGTGACAATTTCTGTATTAACCAGTCGGTCGTACAGCAACAAACAACAACCCGTTTATCTCTTATTAACAACCCAAGTGCTCTCTCACAAGCGCAAGTCAGCAATGGATACCAAATCTCAAGTGGAATACGCGGCTGTTCCCCTTCATTTCGATGCAGGTAGGTTTATTGTCCGAAGGAGTGTCGTGTAACTTAGCAAGTCAGCAACCGTACCACAACGGTGAAAAAACAAATAAATAAATAAACAAACAAACAAAAACACCTCCACGACCACTGTTTGAACTAGCATCCAGTGTGGGCATGTTCCCTCTAAGTCCCATTCATTGAAGCAGATTGTATTGGTTTTATTCACGGCTTGTTATTCCGCAAACACGGGTATCATACGGGTGCAAATATGGTTTATACTTGTGACAAAAATACCCGTTATAAATATGTACACATGTATGTGTGTACCTTGGTAACGTGGCGAGGGCAAACTTTGTGACAGAGGGTACGGTAGTTTTGGTCGGAGAGCTCCTGGCTCAGTGCGTGAGCGATGCTCTGTTGCGCCATTTTCCATTTTCCGGGCTTGACTTGTTCTGCAGTGAGCGTCCAGAATCAGTTTGGATCATTTACTGATAGAACTAAATTTATTTTTAAAAAGTCTGACTTCGCAGTGGGCATTATAATGTTCATGTTGCAAAAGATAGGGACATGTACATGTACATTTATATCAAACCCGAGTCTTTCACATGGGGGGGGGATGGTTGGGAAACTCAAGCCTGAATCAGGTCAACTTACAGAGACGGAGCAGACGTTTCTAACCCCTGATGGAATTACGAGATGCCAAATTTCAAAGAATACTATCCCTTTTTAATCAACATTTGCTGAATGGTTTTTACACTCAGCGACTTGTAAAAGATTGTTGCTTGTGAATCATATTATCATAATAATATTTAACTGTTGTTATTTACTATCAATTTTGTTCATTTCAAGTCCGTTATACTTATTGTGCAATGAAGCAAGGGGTTCGCAAACACAATTGGCAGTCTCAAAAGGACGGCCAACAATACCTTTTGTGAATGACGGAAGGAGGAAATACAAAATTTCAGTCAGCGTTGCGCACTCTTCAGTGTCGGGACTCCTCTTGTACTCTTTCAACAGGGCCCTTTTTCGGCGCTGCCCTTGTTAAACAAACTTGGAGGAAGAAACACCACCACCCGATGGTACGACAAACAAGACTGGCAACGTTATTTGCAATGGTCTACACGCCTCACAAGTTGTATTGACGTGATTAAAGGGCGGGCAGTACGCGGAGACTGGTATGCATACTATATGCAGGCCTGCAGTTTTCACAACGCGCCCGCACGTATACATGCAAATGTGTGGATGAAACTTATTTAAGCGGTATTGACCCTTCCAACGTAAACTGCTGTTTCCCTGCTCGAGTTGCTTGGCTCCCCTTTGCTCATTGGAGAGTGGATTGGAAGAACCTTCCTGACAGGTTTGTTTTGGTAAGGAGACTTATCCATGGACAAAACACAGTACACTTGGAAGTCTTCTTTCATTTTCTACAAGTTAAGTGGGCTTTTACGGTCTGTTGTTCCCTCTCTTTTGTGTTTAGAGTGAATTTAATACCACAAACTCAACAGACATAAAATCTGCGGTACGGTGTTCAACCAGCTCCTCAACTCGGAAAAATCTGTCGAGAGACTTGAGTACGTGTGATTGGTCGGTACTGAGATGCTCATGGGCGTTGCTAGACCATTAAAGGGGAGGGGGCATCGCGAAACTTGCTTTCGGCTTCATTCTTCAAGATCGTTTCTGCCGACAGTAGCATTTTTTCCTGACAAAACCGGTCAAAGTGGGCCCAACTACTCTAGCAGAGTGGGATTTGTTAAGATTTTTTTCAGATTTCAGGGTTTTTTTCATCAGGATTTTCCTGACCTCCGGATCTTTCAAACAATATCTTGTAAAGTCTGTTAAGGTGTTTTTACTCGGTTGACATAGGACACAAGAAATAGGACACTCAGCCCTAGGAAGAAAGGTCTTAGACCACTAATGTTTTTGTCACTTTTCACAGATATATCAAAGCCGTTTTACTGCATATGCAAATTACTGGTAACTGATATAGGTTAGAACTTCACAATGGTAGGCCTAACAAATCATCCATTTGCTGCCTAGATATTATTTCAGCGGTGTCAGTAGCCTCATTTTATGATGATTATTTTTTCCAACCGATTGTATCAGCACAGTATCCGAATGTCACATAAATAATGTAAACATCATTTAAAAAAATTACTATAGAACACTGTGATTTTGTGGTACACAGTTTTCACTCACACTGAGACAGTTACCAGGAACAAATAAATTATCAGTAAACCATGCCTAAAACTAAGGAGGTAAGCAAAGCAACATAGAACTCTATCCTTATTCTGCGGGATGAAGGCTATAGTGACCGGCAGGTGGCGACAATGCTCAATGTATCAAAGAAAAAGCAGGAGTATGGAAACACCATGCTGCAGCCAGGTTGAGGCGAGAAACAGCTTTCTACTGTGCAGGACATTCAGGGGGACCACGGCCTCATCCGTTCACGCCAGACAATTCGACGATTGACCTCCAGCGACCTTCAGAAGGTGTGGGAAAGTTCAATAACTGTGAGATGTTCATCAAGGACAGTCCGTATAACAGACTCCTGGAGGCTGGCTTGAAGTCACACAAGGCCAGGAAGAAGCCACCCACCAATGAGAAGCAGAGGAAGAGCAGATTACAGTTTGTCACAGCACACAAGAATTGGACTATTGAAGACTGGGCTAAAGTCATCTTCAGCGATGAGTCTAATTCCCAGTTGTTTCCAACTCCTGGCCATGTAATAGTGAAAAGAAGGTTTGAGGAAGCCTACAAGCCTGAATGTTTGATTCCTCTATCAGGTGAAATTTCATGGTGGTTCTGTAAGGATATGGGGCTGCTTCAGTAAGATTGGAACTGGACTGATGCGATTATGTGAAGGGCGGATAAACCAGGCCACCTACAAACAAGATCTGGAGGAAAGTCTACTGCCATCCATCAGCCCAGTGCCTGTTACCCAACTCTGATGATTGGGTTATTCAGCAGGACAACGCCCCTTGCCACACAGCAAAGTCAGTTAAGACATAGACGACAGATCATAACATCCAGATTATGAGCTGGCTTGCTCAATTGCAGGACCTAAACCCAATTGAAAACTTGTGGAACAGAAACAAAAAATGCAAGACCACAAGTAATCAAACATAGCAGAGGTGTTTGAATTTTTGCGTCAGGAGTGGGCAGCTTTGACACCGAAAGAATGTCAGAGACTAGTGGAGAGAATGCTGAGGCGCATCAGTGCTGTCATCAAGAGCAAAGGCAATACCACCAAATACTGATACCTGACAGACTGTAACATGTCCAGACACTATTAATTTGGGTACCAAGAAGTAACAGCAGTCAGTTGTATAGCGTTTATGTAATTCTGAAATACTGAGCAAATTGCTTGTTTTGTTAATCCTAGAGATGACTTCCTACGTCGACCCTCCACCGAGCTGGGAAGAAGTAGTCAGCCCAGCGGAGGAGCAAGACATGGATGGGCCAGCAGAGCTCCCGCCCCCTGCGCCCAGCCGGCGAGCTCTGATCTGGAGAAACCGACGATATATCATCGTGTTCCTGGTGCCTCTCATCCTGTGTCCAATCCCTATCGCCATCAACAATTCTGTAAGATTTTAGCTGAAGATCAACACATGAGAGAAAGTAGTCACACGTTCAACGATATTTTGTGCTCAAAACCACCAGTACTTTGAGAGATTCTGTTTTCATAACAATACTAGTGCCAAACACAGTATTGAATGTTATGAAAAATTTTAAAAAAAGAAAAAAATATTTCTGTATGCAAGGGGGAGGGGGGGTAGTGAATACTTTCTTGCGCTTGAAATAAACCTATTTTGAGAGGCCAGGGGCGTTCTGCTCTGGTAACCCCACCATTCCGGAGACCAAGTCACAATCTACCTGATACGTGTGCTGATCTGTACAATGTAATATAAATAATATTGGCATCCATTGCACACTTCTAGTCTTGTACAATGTACATGTACATCACATGTTTATTCTATAGGTGAAGGTACATGACAGAGTGCTTTATAGTCCTTTGAGGTAAAGGGAGTTGGGCCGATGTTCATAAAAGCCTGCTAAGCCTAGTTGGCTGCTAAAATGGCCCCAATTAGTTCATAGCTAAGCCTAGTTGGAAGCTAAGTGATATGCATAAAACTTTGCTAACTTTGTTTGCTAAGTTGGGTGCCAACGTTAGAGTTGCATTTGGGGTTTGTGTTAGTCACGATTTGGCAACTGAATCATTTGTGGGTTACACATTGAGCAGCGAACATGGCGAGAGGTATACTTGAGCTTGCACAACTAAACACTGCAATTCATAAAAGTCTGCTAAGCCTAGTTGGCTGCTGTTCCTAAAAGTCATTTAACACATCCAAAACATCACTATATCCTATTGACATGCAACACACATTTTTCGGTTAGGGGCTTTAAAGAACTAGCTCATGTCCTAGCTGCGTGCTTAACATATCTAGCTGCCAACTAGCTGGTAACATTCTTAGGAAAGTTTTACTAAATTATAGTTGGTAACCACGGAGCAGAAAACTATAGATTTAGCAGGCTGCTAAAGCCTATAGTTAGCTGCTAAGTTAGCAGGCTTTTATGAATATCGGCCCAAGTCTTTCGTGAACCTCAATTTATGCTGTCGTTACCTCAGATCGGCTACACGGCCTACAGCATCCTGATCATGGCAATCTTTTGGTGCACGGAGGCGATCTCTTTGGCCGTGACGGCTCTCTTACCCCTCGTCCTCTTCCCGCTCTTCGGGGTCATGCCGGCGAAGGATGTTGCAGTCCAATACTTCAAGGACACCAATCTGCTTTTCTTCGGCGGCCTGATGGTGGCTGTAGCCATCGAGGACTGTAACCTGCACCGAAGGATCGCCCTGGCTGTCTTGATACTGGTGGGGTCCAAGCCAAGATGGTGAGAACGGGAATGTCTGGAAAAATAATCAGGGTTGGGTGTTGAGTGGGAAAGGGAACCACAAATGGACAGCATCGATTCTATTGCCAACTCGACCCTGGACGGTTTTGATTTACACATGCATTAGAAATACTTGCAGAAGCCGTTTGCTTGCCCTTTTCTTCCACAGTTTCTTCATTACTGCTGGTGTTTGCATGTGTTAAAATGATTCGCCAATCAACGGTTTTGTAAACAACCGTCATTGATTTTCCTTCCAACCTTCCTCATTATTGATTTTTGTATAATGCCCCGAAGTAGCATGTGCGATTTAATTATTGACGCCTGCAACTGAGACTTTTTTAAGCAAACGAATGTTAGGTTTACTTGATAAATAATCAGGTAAAATGCCAGAATTTTCATAAATTACTGGCAAACGCTGGATTTTTCTAAAAATTTACAGCACCGCTCTCTCCTCGAATCTTAAAGGAACGATGCAATGTTTTTTTCTTCGAATAACCTTTGTGCATGTTTAAACCCTTCTTCAATGTATGAAAAGTGTTTGAAATCTTTTTGAAGTTAAGTAAAATTTAAATTAATGCTCTGAAAAATTAAAAATTGACCAAGCTTTTCTAGACAAGTGAGGGCGCTGTTAGTGTGAAGAAAATCCAGGAAGACTCTGTTCAGATTGTGTGTTTTCATGTTCAACTTTTGAACCCAAGAGAAAAAGTTGCTCCTAACCTACTGCTGGATACTTGTACTTACACTTAAATGGAAATCTTCGATAGTGAAATACGTGTGCGTGTGTAGCATTTTGTGTGTGCACAAATAAGTGCACAAATAAGTGCGACATTGAGGTTCAGTGCCTCGGATTACATCGCAAATTGGCTTATGGATATACAAATTAATGGCATAAAAACTAAAAAGCCCCCAAATACAGATAAAACTATAGCACAACAAAAATTGAAGGTAAGGTTAATTTAAGACACAGAGGTGCAATTTAGGTAAAATGTATCTATTACACGATCCCTTAATATTTTTGGCAACTGAAATGTAAATTTTATGATGTCATCGTAGATTACTTGTGAAATTCATTGTAAGATACCTTACTGAATTCACCCTACTCTCACAATTGTGTGTAGTGTGAGCTCAGCTTTCTTTTCGAAGTCCACATTTTCTTGAGCAATATTTTCAGAGTAACAGTTTTACTTGAATGAAATCTTCAGAGCAACACGTCACAAAATTGCACAGGTTGAAGCAAAAATTTAAGCTGCCATGCTGACATGTTTTATTGAACCATTTTTCTAAAAAGACTGAAACAATGAAAGCAGTGTAGCTTGAGGGGAAATCAGTCTCTCTCACTCGAGATGGAATCCTGCAGTTGTAAGTAGACAGAGCCGAAATGAAGAGGAGATAAACGGGCACGATAGAAACACCATAAGAGGTTATATCGCACCCTGGCCTCTTCAGACTCGACCCTGGTCGGAATACTGCTGAAGGGAAAATGATTTTCACTCATAAAGAAATCAGTCAAAGTCCTGTCATGGAATCTGACGCTGAACACGAGATGTTAGGACCTCTGCAAGACTGCTTGACGGAGTCGGTCGACCCGGTCTTGTAGTCGTACCGCCAAGATGGGAACCGCTGATGTTCAGATGATTCCAGATGCGTCGTTGTCCAAGTCTAAGTGTTAGTCGTTGGGTCTTTCCCGGTCGCCCGAGAGTTGTCTGCTTCCTCGAATGCTCAGTCCTTGGCCAGCTGCTTCGTCTGAAGGCAAACCGAGAGTGAATGGTGATGGAACGCCTCAATCTCGGCTCAGGTGACAGTGGACTGCTCATAGGAGAAAGCTGGAAGTTTTGTCCTTATTGCCGACACCGTCTTGGTATAGATGGTACTCACACCCAAGCATGTCTCACGACTCGTGGGCGCGCAGACATGGTCTTCTTGTCAGCATGCCGCCGCTCCGGTGTGAACGGTGATGCCCAGGAGATGGTATCGGACTTGTCGTCATCCCCGTGGTCGCTGACGTCCACGGAGTCATCGTCCTCAGCCAGGGGATCCCTGGCCGGGCCCTCGAAGCTGAAATGCCGCGTGTCACGCTGGAGTTTAGCGTAGTTATTTCTTCGCTCCTGCTCCAAGATGAGATGGTCCATCTGGCGCGACATGCTTTTGACTTCAGCCAGTAAGCCGTTGAGCTCCTCACCGATGTGGATCATCTGGGTGACCTCTTCCACCGAGAGTTCGCTCTCAGGTTTGCCAAGAGCCAGCAGGATCTCATTGCCGACTGTCGGCGGAGTTGGCGGGCAGATCTTAGTTCCGCGAAGGCAGAAGTTTGGCAGGGTGTCTGGCCGATCAAGCATCAGGTCTAGTTCCTGCTCGATGGTGACGTTTCCCTTGTCAGTGATGTCAATGACTTCCAAACTTTCTACCGGTGACGGGCTCTTGGAGCCCTGGGTAACGAGATAGTCTCCCGTTCCGGACTCCGCTCGCACCCCAGCCATCCGGCTGACAGACCACATGGACTGCCGATGGGCGGGCAGTCTTCTGATCCCCGCGACTGAAGATGTTGTAGCCGGAGATACTCGAGGCCTGTGCTTCCAGAATAGCCGCTTCCATAGTCGGCAGACCCCACAAGATGGTTTAACGGGGCCCTCATCCGACAGGTCAACCACAGGTGTTATTGTGGGTCGTTTTTTCGCTCTGATTCGCATCCTCAAAATTTCGCTGCTGATCGAAGCTTCGGATAACGCAAAATACTGGCGTTTGTTGAGCGTCAGTCGTTGACATGGGCAGTGCTATTTTGGACCACACGCTGCCATTGGCTGGCGGGCGCGTCAAGTTTCTGTGACGAAACAATGACGTTCTAGAGGTCACATGGGTTTTATTAATAGATATGGAATTTTCAGCTTTTATGGTATGCTGTCTGAGCATAAAGTTAAATTACAGCTCTGTGTGTATTATGACACATTAATGAGATTTGACTTGACCTAGGACATAACAAAAATTGTTGGAAATACCTACGATTTTATTGATTTGTTTCTGTTTGTAGGATGATGTTAGGTTTCATGCTCATTACTGCGTTCCTGTCCATGTGGATTAGTAACACCGCCACCACTGCCATGATGTTGCCGATTGCGCAAGCTGTGCTACAGCAACTGAAAAAGGATAACTTGAAACAGGTAGACATTATATCCTTTTTTAAAATAAGAAAGCAACTAATCAGAATAAGTTCTTTTGGAAATGATTGTGCTGACTAGCAACTAGCAGCAAAATAATTTTTGCTGTGGTGGGAGCGGCACCTGCGACAACTGCTGTGTATAATCTGAGGAGGAGGCCATGAGCAAACTGTGCCTTTGTCTGATGATGATGATGACAAATGCTGTCTGATGTCATAGTCATGATTGAGGTGGAGGGGTAAATAGTTCTCTGTGAAGCCGAGACGTAACCGTTGTAACCTTTGACTTGGAACCAATTTTTAATTAACTTCATTTAATAAAACCAGTACAAATCACAACACATTGAAGTGCCATACATTTTCACCGAGCAATTTCCTTAGCAGCTGACTTAACGGCAGTTTGCCTCTCGTGTGTGTGTGCGCACACGCGCAAGGTATTATGTCTTTTGAGCTTAGATTATTCTAGTCTATGCTTTTGACGCTCGTGGAACATTCAAAACGCAGAGCACGCGGCCGTCATTCGATTACCACGGATTACCATTTTTGGTGATAATCTTTGCGGCACGTGTGTTCAGATACTTTAGAAAGTATGCAGTTTTCTTCCTAATATTACGGAGACGAATTAAATCCAGACAATAGAAATATGGAAGGGCTGCGTAGCACCGTGATCAGAATATCGACAGGAATATAAAATCCAATCAGTGCTCTGAAATATGTGATTGCCGAGCTTTCGGTAACTGAGTACCTTCTTCAGGGCAAGCGGATTCAGTTCAGAACTTAATCTGCTTGCCCTGAAGACGGTACCTAGTTACCGAAAGCTCGGCAATCACATATTTCAGAGCACTGATTTGATATTATATTCTTGTCAATATTTAAATCCAGACAAGGTCGTGCTCAAAATTTGGGTAGTCTCAAAGTTAATTAATCATAAATAAATCATATATCTATAATGGCAGAAAGATGAAAACACCAACCAGGACTGCAGTGATGCAGATACCAGAAGTGGGCGGGCCCACAGAGACAAGGAAGGAGAGGAAGCCATTGCCATGGAGGAGGTTCGGGTTAGGGGAAGGTAGGTCATTAGGTTGAAAGTCTCAGGTCAATGTGCATAATGACATGGCTTTCGAGTCGGGAAATGAAATGCACTTCGCAACACCCGAGTGGCCTTGGATTGCCTGTTTTTTGTTACCATTTCATCCAGTTCAATTAATACTCGTTTTATTTCATTTCTAGTATTGATCATCAACCTCACGATATCTACCGTCGTAACCTGCTGGAAGAGAACGAGCAAGAATCTCGCTATAATCTCATTTGCAAAGGCATCGTGCTGTGCGTACCTTACGCTGCCAACATCGGCGGTACAGCTACGCTGACAGGCACAGGTCCAAACCTCATACTGGCTGGTCAGGTTAGCAGGTCAGTCTCAACTTGGTCTTGAGAATAGAAAGCACGTTAGCCTACACGAGACAACGTTTTTCTCATAAATAAATTTTCTCATAAATGTACAATAACGCAAGCAGTTTTACACTTTTTGCAGGGAAAGTGAGTTGTTACAATGTCACGGCTATTTCACTTTTTTTTCAAATTCGAAAAGTAACTCTTGGAAATAAAAATTTTCAAGAATGACATTTCAACGCAAGACGTTCGATTACACAAAGACAATATGTACAACTGGAAACATACAAGAGGAAAATTGAATGCAAACAGGAAGTATAAAGGCTATTGCTTCTAACGCGTACCGGTAGACTTCGATATTAATACTATGCACATGGATAAGTATTTTGTTGCTATAGGATTTCGATTAGCGTTGTGTGGTCTTTGTATAATAGAACAACGATAAAAGAACAGCGAGCGCATCATATTTCTCACCAGGAAACAAGAAAAAAGGGTGATAGGCAGTTATACCGCATAAAGTTTGCTCGCACGTGTATGATATTTTCTCGTATGGGGATTGTATATTTCCTCATCAACACCACGAAGTATTGCTCATCCATAGATGTGTGCGCCGCTTCAGTGCGTATTTTACAGATATGTGTTATTTTCATTTTCACAAGTAGCACTCGGTGCTTGTGGCACGTGATCCAGGAATTGTTTTCAGGAATTGACTTCGTCCTTAATGTAAACACTTAAAACGAGTTTTAAGAGCATCTTCTAGTTAAGTCACATATTTACGGGTGAATCAAATCATTTTTGACCTTTCAAATCGTTTTTATCCATGCTATATGGACAAAACACACGAATACTACTTCGTGAAACCGAAATTGCAGTAAACACGGTTTTCACGAAGTAGCACGGAAGTGCAGTTGAGTGCTACTTCGTGGTGTTGGTGACGTTGGGGGCCCCGTTCCTTGAATAGAAGGAAGACCTACATTTGAACTTTTGGATTCACCTTGGAAGATGACTATGACATCATGCTCAATGACTGTAGGGTTGATGTTGTAAAAAGAGGGCAGGGTTTTACGTTTTTGGAAAATTATGAGGGGGACTGTGAGTGTTTTAACACATGACACATGGTTTATTCAAATTTTCCTGGCTGGTTTATCAGGAAGAAAGTCACATTTTCATAATCATAATTTACAATTGGAAATTCGCCAAAATAGGGTCAGTGCAATAAAGAGAGCATTGTGGCTTTGGTTTTGGGGGGACTGACTAGATTTACAAAATAAAAATGACAAAAAACGGGGGAGGGGGAGGTCCATAAATATACAAGCCCCCTAATATGTAAGTGACGCAGTCTAAACTGTCTTGGTGGTTGTGCATTCCACACTGCAGTTTGTTCGGGTCCGAGGCTGAGGTCAACTTTGGTGAGTGGATGATGTATGCCGCGCCTGGTATGCTGCTCTGCTTGCTTCTGAGCTGGATCTGGATGCAGATTGTTTACGTGGATCGCTGGTGAGTGCTGTTGGGAACCATGCCTATAAAATACGAAATCAGGGCCTCAAGATCAAGAAATGTTCATAGAGCAAGTTTGCCTTTGAAGCATTTATTCCGCAGCTTGTATTTACGTTAGGTGCTGCAAGAAGCTGGGCCAGGAACTCGACCACGAGGGCGCCGCCAAAGTGATCCGTCAGGCCTACAAGGACCTTGGACCCATGTCGTAAGAATTTATATTCATTTTTTCTTGGCTTAGCACTTTGATTTGTCTCTTTTGGCTCCTGTGACTTTTTAATGACGAGAGCATGATAAGAAAAGAACCAATGCTATGGTAAGCGTTGATATTTCCAGACCTGCATTTGTTCTGCATCTGGACACCTGTGGTCTGAATCCTCTACCTACCTTTCCCGTCTTGCAAACCTGCTTCGCATTTTGTCTCATCTTTCTCGGTTCATTCCCAAAAGGTATCCGCAATTGTCGAATTTTCATGCCTGTATATTTCCTACCAGGTTTGCCGAAAAAGGTGTCCTGGGCCATTTCATCCTATTGATTGTGCTGTGGATAAGCCGTAAACCAGGCTTCGTGACCGGCTGGTCTGCGCTCTTCCCCGATGGGTATTGACAGGTTTTCTCTTTCAGTTTAAAACAGTTGTTGATTTTTACACAAAATTTGAGAAAACCACAAACAGTGTTTTTACTTCCTCCTGTACAGAACTATTTCTATGCCAAACGTAATTTAGTGTGACGTTACTACAGTTTTATCCACGCCTACAACACTACTTGTCGAAAGCCTTTCATGTGGCTATTCAAAAACGGTTAATAAGGGCAGAAAAAAGGCTCCGGTTTCTGGTCAGGAGCTGGCTTCAAAAATGGTGCCGCGACGCGGCTTTTTTTACACTCACTTTGTTTTCTTCAATGATGTACGTATAACGCGCGATGTCCATCACGACTGGATGCGCACGTAACGCTAGCCGCTACCAACACTAAAGTAGACTGGCCCCTGCACTTTTTACTATTTAAAAAAATTTCAGCTTGTACATGTACACAGGACATAAGACCACCTCGTTTGTCTGGTTCCCAGATGTAAATGTATAATACAGAAATGACTTCATTCGAATAAAAGTGCCCGACTAAATTTATGGGAACTACAGGGACTCCTTCACTGTACTTATTACTCAACCGTACCCCATCAAAAACACTTTAAAATTACGCAGTAGCAGGATTCCAGTCGATTAAGCAAGTTTGGCAGCTTTTGGACATCGGTTTCGTTTTATTCCAAACAGTTTTTCTTTATTTTGCCGACGCGCAGGTCTACGGCGACGCTTGCGCTGATCAGAAACCGGAGACTTTTTTGGCCTAAAGCACTGCTGTTCACCACCTCACGCAATATGTGCCACGCATCAATCTCCATAAAGGAGTCCTTTTATAGCTAATCAGAGAGGAACATACGGTAGACTAGAAGGGTTTTTAAAAATGAAACTTTTGAACAAAATTGTTCGGAACTTACACTCTCTAAAACCTATTTTGACTTGGCGAGTCAAAATACTTGTGCGATTGGGAATAATATGTTTGAAGCGTTCGTTTCAGACCGGTTCAGTGGAGTGGATGCTGATCGTGTCCCGTCACCTTTGGCTTGGCCACTATAAGAGCCCATTCTCTCTATCCGATCTTCAAAGAACTCTCTAAGATCGGCAAAGCATATATTTGTTCCCTTACTGAATGGCTGGCAAAACAATCTAAGTTGATATACAGTGGTTTTTGGTGACAGAAGTCAGTACGATATCCATCTCACTAGATTGTCGTACTCTGTCCTTCAGTTACGTGACCGACTCGACTACAGCGATATTTGTCTCTATCCTACTCTTCATGTTTCCGTCCCGGATGCCCAAATTCTTGTGTGGCCGGAGCTCGAAAGGTTTGCTGCTTTGATTTAAACATATGCAGGTTCTTATTTGTTTTGTTGTTGCAACAAAAAAAAAAAAATTGACCATAAATTGATATTGATGGTTATATTTACTGAAATTACAATGCTTTTTCTTGTTATGCCTACGTTTGATCACGGAACTAAAAGTGACACGAATTACTTGAACGATAAAAAGATGCAGCTTATTTTTATCAGCAAATATAACAAATGAATAATTCTTTATCGGAAGTTTGTGAGTCTTGTTCTCCGTTTTCTTGCAGAAGACCTCAAGGAAGAAAAAGGGCCCTGTCCTGCCCTTCTTGAGTGGCCGATCGTTCACAAGAAGATGGCTTGGCTTGTGATTATCCTCCTTGGTGGGGGGTTTGCGCTGGCAGAAGCATGCAAGGTTATATTGCAACTTCGTAGCATACTGCCCACTCAAGTCTTATACATTGCATGTCATCGTACATGTCTTCCGTAAAACAAGCTCTTTGTATTCTGAATGGACTATACTTGAATGTCTCATTTCTAATTGAATGGTTTAATTTCATTGTCATAATCACTTCTCTGTGTGACCTCGATCGGAGAGAATTGATACAGGCGGTTTGCTGAAAGTAGCTGAAGTTTAAAACGCCATGAGACGAAGTCCTGAATTCACTATAGCGATTTAACCCCCTACCTCAACAACCAGGTGTCAGGTCTGTCAGCTTGGATTGGTGAGCGGTTCACTGCGCTGGATAGCTTCCCTCCCTTTGCTATCGCGTTAGTGGTGTCCGTCATTATCGCTGCCTTCACGGAAGTCACCAGCAACACCGCTACAGCAACCATCTTCCTTCCCATACTTGCTAGTTTGGTAAGTTCAGCAATTTGGTAAGCTTGAGTCGAAAGCCAGACTTTGGGTGTTTCTTTGGGTTAACTTTTATTTAAGAATTGATATTATAGCACGTTTTAATAACTGCGTGTAGTAGGCCTTAGATCTGGGTGTCTGCGGATATAGTCGGGTTAAATTGATGCTATGATCATTCTTGTCAAGGGGACGAGTATCGGCGTCAATCCACTGTTCCTGATGCTACCTGCCACCGTGGCCTGCTCCTTCGCCTTCATGCTGCCAGTAGCCACGCCCCCTAATGCCATCGCCTTCGCCTACGAGCAAATCACTGTCATGGACATGGTAAACAAGCCTCACTATTAAAGAAAACACTTATTCTGTGTATAATTGGTCATGGAGAAATTTGGGAAACTAGCGTAGGTAATTCGGTACCCAGGCCAGATGTCATCAATACCATTCGGTTGATAAGCAAATAACCTTTAACATGAAAAGTTTTTTCACATGGACTGATGGAGTTTTTTTTTTCAAAAATACTGTTCAAAGCTACTTTAAACACTGGGTGTACTCGATGGCATTAAGTGAAGTCCCAGGGAGGCGGTAACCTAATGTTTACGAGCTAGTGTCAGCCATGATTAAGGAGAACAAGCGGCTAAAGGTCGGAACTTCAGATTCAACTGTATCTTTAATAGTCGTGGTGAACTGTTAACAAGATAAATACAAAGAAATAATCAAGATCCCGTGGAATTCTAATCGTGCACTTTGAGGAAAATATGTCAAGCTCCTATATACGAAATGATAGAAAACGGAGAAGTCGCTATACACGTACTGAGGACTGGCAGCAATACTGTTACAAAGGAGCAGCCATGGATTTTTTATTCTAGGGTTGAACTGCCAGAAAAATTTACATGTAGGTAAACATCTAACATCAACAAAAACTGTCAAGAACTATAAAAAAAATATCACAATTTGTACAAGAAAATCGAAATCACTTTAATCTAAGCAAAGGCTATAAGCATGCATTCTAGAATCGCGCCGAACCAAATTAAAAGCAAATTTTGAATTACGTACAG